GCTCAGATGAATAGTCCTGGCTGTACTCGGCTACCGAGTCAGTTGTTCTATTTGCCTGAGTGATTTTTTGAAGGAATCTCTGTTCACCTTCTAAATCCTGGTTCATTTTGTGACATTGTTTTATTGCTAAATGTATGATGACAAACTTCCTCCACCATCATCTGGAAAAAGCTATGGGATGAACATTAACCGTAAGGAAACTATTGAGACTGGCTAAACCATCAGCAGATAAAGGAGAGTACTTGAGCTCAGAGGACAAACTCTGCCAGGCTGTGTGAAGGGAACGGGTTTTAGACAGTGGAAATTCCCCAAGCAGGGAAATAAGGAAAACAGGTAGTTGCACTCTACTTTTAAAAATTGGATAGAGGCAACAAGATTTTTTTTTAAGAAAAGAGGAACACTGGGCCATGCTTTTCTAATAGAAATGTTCTTTGGGACCTCAGGATGTCTATGGAGAACACACGGTGGTCTTGGGACTGCAGGCATCTCTACACAGGGGAAACATGGATCTAGGACACATGTCAGGGAGATTGAACAAATAGTGCTGAAACCTTCCCAGATCTATGAAACTGAACAAATAAAAGACTCATGAGAATAATTAGGGAGGGCTCTAAACCAATGAATGAGAGGAATGGAGTAAGGATTAGTAATGGCATTTCCTTAAGTTGCAGGCATTTTTTTTTTTTCCATTTTTCCCACCTTCTTGTGCTTTCATCAGCTGGGTTCATCCCAAAGATATCCAAATCTTTCTTTGGCTTCTCTGGGTGTCGGTTCAGGAAATTGTCCCTGTTCTTATGCAGATAGTTCACCAAATCACCATAAAAGCAGTATTCAGTAATGATGTAAATAGGACCTGATAAAATAAAGCAAAATAATGCATTGATGAGTGAGTTGTTTAAAAAAAAAAGACTCCAAAAATAGCAGAAAATAGAATATATAACATAAAAAGTATTGTGGGTTAATATATTTTTGTTTACTAAGTTATGACTGCAACTACTACCAAATATCAAGTAGGTTTTTTGAAATCTTTTATTTGTTTATATTTATTGTTAAATCCTTTACTTGACATTTGTGTGCTTGTTAAGCAGCAAATGATGGCTCCACAGCAAACTTCATTTTGTCAGCCAAACCCACCTGATTTTGTACAAGCTCCAAGCAGATTCACAATATTCAGGTGGGGCCCAAGATGTGTCATTATCTTCAGTTCAGACATGAGCGCCTGTTTTTCACTGGATCTCGCTGTAGCTGTTGAAAAAACATACCAGCCACTCGGTGAGAGCAATCGCCTTTTTCACAATAACAAACTATTTCTCCTTGTTTGCCTCATTAGAGCATCACTACCATGGTTTCTTGAAGAAGACCGTGTCCTTTACTTGACAAAGGAATTTCTTAAGACTTGGAGAGGAGTCACAACTCACTAATAAAGGACTCACTTGATGCAGCTAAATAGCAGACACAGCCTGTTGGTCCCTCTCCAGGGGTACAGCGGTTTGCCCAGGTGGCCCAGAGGCACTTTACAAGCTGCTGGTTTCAATACAAGCAAGCTCCTCATGAGTCCTTCAGAATCACTGCATCAGATTCTCAGATCTCATGAACTGGGAAATCTTCACTGAACTTAAGATTCTCACACGAAACCTGCCTGTTTCTCCTTTGTTGTGCAGCTTTCATTTGTTCACAAACATTCACGGTTATTTTATCTTTTTCTGAACTTGCTCAGTTATTGTGGCTGCTACAGTCCATACAGATAAAACCAAACTTTGGCTGTTTTCAGAAGCCTGGATACTTTCAGTCTTGAAACATCATGAAGCAATCTAAAGTATAATTATAAATTTCAGTCATTCCACAGTACATTTTCAACTTCAGATACGGAGAATCTGTTTATATACAAGCATTGTTTGAATAACCCTACAGGAACGTGCCCTACCTAGCTTGGAAAATGGAACCACGACAACTTACGTTTCAGCATTTTCACAGCTACTTTCATCACCGGTTGAGAGCGACTCAATCCATATGCAGTCCCTTCGACTACTTTTCCAAATGCACCAGAACCAAGGATTCGACCTGAACACAAGGGAGAGCATTATATATTTCAGAAAGTAACGGCGATTCGCCTCGTTTCCCGCTGCCATTCCTCTACAGGTTGTGATTCTTGTGTGGAAAAAGCACACTCACTTAGCCAGACCACTGGTATTATTGTTATTACTGTTGCTGTTAAGCAGAAAAGGCAAATAAGAAATGCTATCATTAAGTACAATTCTTAAATAAAAACAAGCAAGCAAACATCAGGAGCACGTTTGCACATGAGAGCTCAACTCATTCAAATTCGTCTCCTACTGTGCCCTGCCACTCTCGTTTTGTCCTTTCTAATCATTGATTCTCCTACATTTAAGTTGACCTCTCTGCCTCAGTCAGCACCTGACCACAGTGCAGTTGTGTCCTTTACTTAAAAATCTGAATTGGACTCCTTAGCTGTATTCTCGGGCTGTTAAATCAATGCTGTGTATGTCTAGCAGTAAGATAGACTGAAGCACATCGACAGCACATTTAGAAATAGACGTGCAGGGTCATCAGTGATCTGCAAGAAGCTGAAATACATGTTGATCACATATGAGGGGAAACTTCTCTGAAGTTTAATGTACAAGTGTGTTTCATATGCTGGAATAAATTTTATTGCAAATTTCCAAGTGCTGTAATGAAACAGCTAATGTTTATACACACTTTACTCTTCCCACAAATCAATTTAGACAAAAATTTTGGATTATCATATCCTGTCTCCTGATACAGATACAGTGTGCAGAAGAGTTGTGTACAGATTGAGTGAGTTTTTAGATAAATATGAACTGCACAAACATACTCAAAAATACTATATTTCATAGTTTCCATATCGAAGAGAAAATTCATCAAGGCAACGCTTACTCAGTGAACAAACCTGTATATGATCTCCAGATGCCAGGGTATTTTCATATTCCTGACAAGCTCTCTATTTTATTTTATGTTACTTTTTAACTTCCAGCACAGAAAGAATAAGTAGTGACTTTTACTATGGAGATATACAGCATCTTGTCTTTGACATTCATTTGCAGTTTGAACTTGCTGCCTTTTACACTTCTGAAGGTGTTATCTGGCATGCAATGCCATATGTTTCTGTTATCCTCTAGCTGCTCCCCTCGCTTTTATTGTATACATGCTTTTAAAAGAAAATTTCCAGCCAAACAATATCTACATCATTAACAAGCACAAGAAACGGTTAAAGAACGCTTAGTTGAGTTACTACTGAAGAACCTGTCCAAGACTATGACTGCATAGTTTGTCATGCACACAAAAACTATGCGATTTCTTCTCAAGATTCCTGTGCCTCTAAGGTTATTCTTCCCAATCAGGATGTGAGAAAGCTTCCCACTAAATTTCAGACTAATTCAAACAACCTGAGTCTGAAATTTGGTCCCTGAAACTTCTCAAACCGAAGGTCTGGCAGCCACATGGCAGGATGCAGCCTTTCAGAATGCGATGGCATTCGCTGATGCTCCTTGATCTTCTCGTCTTCACAAGCCAATTCCTCCCCAAACCATATTGTCGGCTGAGCACGAGGTACCCATCTCCCTCTCCATCACCTCTGCTGAGCCGGGGTGCACGTGGAGACAATGAGAGTGTTTCCGGAGTGGCGGGGAGCTATCACTGCCGGTTCCCCTTTTCACCCCTCTCCCCAGACATAGCCCAAGCCCCATGTGTTTCACACTTGAAATTCGGAGCCAGGTGGGAGCTGACTGCTCAAGAGCCAGAGGCATCTGTAATGCCATCACATTCTTGATGTCAAGGCCTTCAGTGGAGCCCAAAATTATAGCGTGTGTTTACTTTTGTTAGTGTAAAGGCACCGCTGTGATCTGCTCGCGGGAGGAACATCGCTGCTTCTCCGCCACAGAGGGACTGTGCAGACCCAGCAGCAGCTCAAGGCTCCTCAAACTAGGGGAGGAAAAGGGCCTGGGGGTGAGAGCTATTTCAGCCTCTGTACCCATCCAGAGAGCTTATCTGCTGAGCCTGTCAGAGAAGTGCTGTTTTTCTGCTTGGGGGGGGGACACAAATACAAAGGTGAAGCCTGTGAATTTGTTCCAGACACAACCTTCTCAACTGGATGCTCCTTTGACTAAAATTGAATTGGGATAATCAGCCCACCCCAAATTAAACCATAACTCTCTTGGTTTGTATCAAAAACCAAACAAGTGACAAGCTTTGTCGTCTACATCCAGTTTCCAGACTCATGAGAAGTTAGGTACCACACCCCTAAATGCTGTGTAACTTGAATTCTAACTTGCCTTTTGCAAATGGGAATGGGTTTGATTCTGTGTCAGACCAGCATTTCATTTTATTAAGGCCACCAGGACAAATGAGTGGCTTGCTGGGAAGCGATGGGAGCAATTCTGCCTCCTCTCGACAGCCACCCCAAGATCCTGAGAAACAGCAGCACTTGGACCCCGCTCCTCAAAAGGCCCTACCCTCTGCATCTCAGCTGAAGGAGGAGGTCCAGGTCCCGCTGGGACCTCGCCACTTCCCAGCAGAGCCAGGAGAAGGCAGTGGCACTCAAACAGGTCACTACGCTATCGCAGTTCTCATTCTGTTACACTTCTCCCAGGCTTGCGCTGGATCCTGAGCACCTTAAACAGCAGCACACTATGTACATTCTGGAGGGGTGATACCAAAGGGAAATGTGCAGTGTAACCCAAATTTATCAGTTGAAGCTCCCTCCAGCCAACATTCAGAGCTGGCATTTAACGCAGCACTGCACTCCAGGCACTACTAGCTAGTAAAACAAATAAATACCAGCTGGCTTACATAGCTAGGATGGGAAATGCTCATCTGGCTGAGCCAAAATGCATTTGTATCCTGCTTCAGAGCCTTCCTGAGCTAAAGGTGTAATTGCTTTGCTGTCATCTCCCACGTCAATACGAGAAAACCCACACTAACCAGAATTATCAGCCCCAGAAACAAGAAAGGTCCCCACCAGCCAGCATTTCACATGGCAGAACTGCCAGTGGGTAAATGTTAACCATGTCAAGAACACTTGTGCGATCCAGATCGCTTAAAGGGCACGTAGCATTAGTTTTTAAAGCACTGACTATCCTAAATATACTTGTAAACAGGAAGGCATTGAAATAGGCTGGTGTTCATGAGTCAGAGGAAGGCAAAGTCGTGGTGGTGGTCTGTTAACAACTCAGATCAGACAAATCCTATTTAGGCATGTAATTAAAGTCTGGGTTGTAAAAAAATAATCCCATTAAATATCCACCCTTCTCTAGTTTTCAATTAGCAACATGAATTTAATTAAAGGATATTGTTCCTGAACCAGAAATTTTTGTGCATCTTCTTGCAAGAGTTAACATCAATTCTTTCTCTGAGATGGGGAAGGAGAACTAAACTAGAGGAGTATATTTCTTAAAATACATCAAACAAAAAAACATATTTCATATTCTTTTCCTCCTGTAGTTTGTGATACAACCTGGTGCACAGATACCTCCAAGAGAGGGAAGCCTTGTATATTTAAGGCACTATCCAGATAGAACATAAAAATTGTCTATAATCGTTACACTTCCAATTGATATAAATGACAGATTGGGTCAGTCTTGAAGAAGTAATTACGACCGAATTCTGTATGAACTCTGATGCATGAATAACAAAGCAAGAAAGCAGAAGGGGAAGGAAGAAGGACAGTAGCCACAAAAATAAGTTATGCAGTTACTCAGCACTGATATGTGCACAGCATGGATTAATAATTTAAAAAATATTTTTATTAAAACTGCATAACTACTTGCAGATTCCCTTTGGTCTCTGCACATAAGTATATAAATGTCTGTCAAATAAAAAATGATGATGTACTTCTTGAGGGTGGCTTAGCAGAAGTGAGTGTTGTTGAAGAGGGTATTTAACGCTGGGAGAGGCCCCCTGAGCCACGCGGAGGTGGGCACTGCGCGTGGGGCATGTGGAGGAGAGCTGGAACGGAGGCATGGGAGACACCAACAGAAGGAGCTCAAGGCTGACACCGCTGTAGGAGGAGAAGAACAGGATGCAGAAGGAGAACTGAGGAGAACAGAGAGGTACAGAAAGACTCTGGACTTCACGGCCATAACTTAGGTCGCAAATCCCTGTAGCACAGACCTCAGAGTTGTCCTTAATTGCCCTTATCCCCAGAGAAGGATGGGATTAGTCCCTTAGAGGAAACTTACCAAGCACTAACCCGTCTCGAGGAAACTCCCATCTGGAGTCATAAGGCAGTTGCATTGGGTCCACATAAATGTATTCGTGGCCATCGGGGCTGATAGACTCAATGACTCTCCATCTTATCTCATACCTCGGCTTCTGCAAAACACAGAATGCAAAACCAACCATTAGTCCTGTGCCTAAATTCAGAGCAGATCAAAACTCAGCAGGGCTCAGCATCCAAACTAAAATACTTTTTTACATTACCTGCTTCCATATGATGACCAGGACAATCAGTGAAATTATCACAATCACCAACAGCACTAAGACGGCAGCAGCCACCGTTAGTTCTGATCGCAAGGCTGTGGAGTAAAAAGACAGACCATATTTTCCTCCTGAGCCATGAGGACCATGACACACACATAAGACACCCACCTCCCCTGCCATCACAGCTCCCATGTCCTGCAGATGTGGCAGGAGCAATTCCTGAGGCTGGTGACTGTAAAGTCTTTCCAAGCCCAGAGCAGTTCTGCCTTCCTGTTTCAAAACCAAATGCAGAGATTGTCTAGAAGAACATCCTATAGCTGGTGGCCATAAAATGATAAAATGAATCATGGAACTACATAATAAGTGAAAAACAGATGCACCAGAAAGACCTGTAGAATGCCTCATCCTCAGATGCGCCAGGGTGGAAAAAATTCCATTTTCATTTATTTTTATCCACAACAACTCATGTTTTTATTTATTAAGACTGAACTGGGGTGTATTAGAGAGGGGTCAGACTGGCTGCTGTAATTTCACAGAAGGACAAAGCAAACTTACTGGGAGCCACAAGCTTCAGTTCCCGAGTAACAGCACCAAGGTCATTCCTTGCCACGCATCGCACAGCCAGGGTTTCCTCTACCTTCTGGAAAGTCACCTGGCTTTCCACCATGTTTTTCTCATCCAGGTGGGCTTCCATGTGTATATCAGAGATATTGTTAGTCAAAAGAGTCCATGAGGTGTCATTGCTGCACCTGTAGAGAAGAATAACAGGGGAAACGGGCATTGGGCATAGTATGGCTAAAGAAGAGTGAACAGAACAAGAACCACTTTTCACTATAACTTTCTTCTGACAATGATCCTTTTTAAGATCAGAAGTGCTTAAGACCACCTCTGTGAAAAGCCTGCATCTTTCTGCCCTTAGGATAATTTGCCTTCTGATTCTCATTACTGCTGCTGCTTTGAGGGCCTGACAATGCAACCCAGCAGGTCTGGTATAGATAAGATAGACCTTGGTGTGACCTAGGTATGTATCCCAAAGAATTACAGTACTGGATGGATCTCTATTTCTCCCTGAATCTTTAGCGCTGTACAAGGCTCCCTGGGGCAGGACTAGGAGGACGATCATCCCACCAGGAAGTAAAAGGCTTTAGCACAATGAGAGCAGAACACAGCTGGGAGGTGTCAGGGCTCCTAGCCACCTTCTATGCATGGTCTCCCTCTCCCTGGTGGATAACATCCCAGAGGAAAACCAGCCTCCCAGTAGTCACAGAAAGAGCCAGTCTAAAACTAGCAAAAATGGGAGTAATTACTCCACGCGTCTAAAATACTTTGAAGGTGAAAATTGTAATTAGGGGGAAAATAATTACAAGTGAAAATTTAGAAGCATGCAAGGGTGTTAATGAGGCAGAATGAGCTATCTGTGAAATGATAAGAACTCCCTGAATGGAGGGACAGCTGCTTCTCGAGATCCTTACTCAAACCAGGACTGTGAAATCTGCTTAGTTCGCTTATCGAACACAAAGCTTTTATGAGAGAAATCTCCTTAATTGCTCCATTGTGTCTTTTCCTACAGGATGCAATGGGAAGGGCACTGACAACCTCTCTTGAAATATGTGACATGCCTCTAAAAAGAAAAAAATTATCTAGAGCTTACTGACCCTTGATGAGGAAAAGGTGATACAGTAACTAATAATGTTAAGCTAATCAAGGACACAAGTAGTCATAATTTAGATAAGAAAGTACCCACTTCTCTTACTTTTTAATGTCCTTGCAAACCAACCATTCCACATCGGGAAGCGGGGTCCCCTCCACCAAGCACCTCACTGTCTGCCCACCAGCAGAGCCGTGGTGATCATCCACGAGGTCTAAGATCAGGGCTGGAACTGGGAAGGAGTTAAGAGTTTGTTAAAATATTCGTCAGGGTCTACAAAAAGACAGCCTGAAATTTCAAATAAAACAGGACGGGTGTTGTTTGGCTGATGGCTTTGCAACAGCTAGAGACCCAGACTCGTCCAGGAGGTCCTTATCTCCTGTAGGACAGAGTGGATCCCAGGCTAGGGCCATGAAAAGGAAGTGCTGCGGTTATGCCACGTCCTCATGTCATACTAAACGAGCTATCGTTCCCGCTGTCAGCTGGAACAACTTAGGCAGGAGGATAAAGTTTCTTTTTGGCTCAAGGCCAGCGCAGAAGTCAAAGCCAGGATCAGGGTAGGAGAGATCCAAGGACTCGGCAAGCACGCGCTCCTCTGGATACCCTGGTTCGCACCTTTCTTATCTCCATACTCCAGGCAATCTGATGTGTAAGTGAATCAAGTCTTTGCTGTGTGCCATCAGATCTGGTGGGCAAGGCTTTGGGGCTCCTTACCTTGTATTAGCAAGGAGAAGGTGTATCTTTTAATTTCATCTTCATTTTCAGCAACCAAAGTATAGTATCCGCTGTCTTCTTCCTTGGCCCTGATCAATTTTAATATACTCTGAAACCTGCAGAAATGAGAGTTTTTGCTTGTATTTTTTGAAGCAGGCATAAAAAAATTTCACTTTGGTGCAACATGTAATCTGGGTATGTAGAGATTACAATGTAGTGACATTTAGCATTTCTAGCATGCCTTTAACTAAAGTCATTACTCAAGCGGTAAATAACTACCAACATGCAACTGAGAAACAAGTGGGCATAGTTATATTCTCCAGGGATCTGACAAAGCCTCTGATATTACTGGAAAATTCTTGGTGTGGAGGTATGTTGGAGGGACTGAAGAGGCTTAGTGCTCAGAAACCAAGATTTCTATGGCTTGGAGGTGTTGATGTTATGAAGGGAATAAGAAAAAGTTGATTAGGCAACACCCTTTAAAGTAGAAAACAAAGAAATTATTTTTAAACACCACTGAGGAAGAAGCAACAAACTGAGGTGAAAAGACAGAATAGGAGCAGTGCCTAGGTTTCTTGGGGAGAAACTCAAGTCAACATGGCAAAGTAAGGGTCAGAAGAACATTTTTACCTTGTTTCCTGGACTCTGTTGGAACTAGTAACAATCTCAGTAAGATTTTCAATCAGAGTCACGTTATCCTTCAACCAGTACATTTTTGGTGCTGGGTATGCCTGCACATCAACGACAAAGTTTTTGACTTCATGTAGATTGACAGCTTCCAGAGGGCTAAACTGCGGCTCCAGGTGAACAAAACCTTTGTCTGTAAATGAAAAAACCTTGTGTAAACAACACTGTGCAGCATTTTTCAAGAATGGTGTTTTCCAACACATTAATAATTTTGGGACACTAAAATCAGACTATACCATGGACTGTAATGACTACTTTCTTATTTTCCTTAACCTCCTTGGTTGCATGCCGAGCAGTACATTCATAATCCCCTGTGTCTTTCACTGATGCCTCAGGAATGGTCAAGGTGTAAACCAGCTTCTGCGATGGGACTTTGATATCATCAAGTTTTATCAGACCTTTTTCTTTCTGTAGTTTGGAGAAGGAAAAAAAACCTTACTTAAGTAACTGAGCTGAAAGCACACCACTGAGGATCTATGATGCCACTGGAGCAAGAGCAACCGTCTAAACCCTGTGTGGCAGAAGAATTGTTTACTCAGTCAGGGATGTATTTTTTCAGCCACAGGCACAAAAGGTGTGTCTATAAAAATACACCCTTTTGAGGGCAGGCACAGAAGGGTGAGGAGGTTGAGAGCTCATGTTTTATTCACTCAAAACAAATACCGTTCAAAATTTGGGCGAGCAGCCTGAAAGAGCATTTTACTGCTCATGCCCTACCTTCTCCTCAGACATAAAAGCCACTTGACTTTTCTTTGTTCAATTCCCATGAAGCAGGGTGAATTCTTATCCTCTCCAGCAGACAAAAAGGAACCAGTTGCTAAATGCTATGTTCAGCCTGCTCTCAAAACAAGAATAATTTATTGGTAAGGGTAAGACTCCTGTGAGTAAAAGGATGGTAAGAATGGTAGACCTTGTTATCATGAGAGGCTGGAACAAAAAATATGCTGGGTCTAGTTTGGAAAGGTGGCATACAGCAGAGATTATGATGTGTAATACGGAAAGTAGAACAAAATCTTCTCAAATAATTTTTCCTCTTGGGCTTTTAACTTAAATAGAAGGTGGGCTTTGGGGTCACAACTAGGTACACTTCAACTACTCTATTCCTTCTGTGACCAGGCTTTTTACATGGAGTACTCTGAAATTCTCCATTGACCGGGACTGGCTCTGACCAAATTTCACTGAATGAAAATTTTCACTGCAGAAGGATGTTGCGTCAGTTTGAAAATTTTTTAGGTTCTCCAAAATTTTAAGGTTTTCTTACTAGATGGTTCTTATTAGTGAGTAATTACACTGATTGTAAGAGTCATTTTAATTTACACCTGCATAATGAGGAATAATTAAGACTGTGGACTTGGTTCTTCATCGTCCTTTATTATGCCCAAGAACCCAGGGTTTAAGCAGGCCATTTTAGAGGTTCAGACCTTCAGCAGCAGAGCTCTATGTGGATGTCCAACACATTCCTAGATCTTTCTATTTCCACAATATTTCTTTTTTTGAACCAGCACAAGACCTGAGAGACAACATTCTTCCCTCAGAGGATGGACTCCTAGTCATACCTCATCTTCGTCTCATGCTTTGCATGCTTACTAACAGCAAACTCTAATGTTTGGGTAACATTTACTTTTGTGGTAACCTAAAAGTAAAAGAAATTTGTTTTCTCTCCTCAGCTGTCTTCATTCAGGGAAGAGAAGAATATTTTACAACCCCACCTTCTTCCCCAATAAGTAACTTCAAACATTCCAAAAACAAAAAAACCATATATTTACCACTTTCCCAGGATAATTCCACTGTAAATTAACCACCTCATTGTCAAAGACCACACAAGTTACTACGATGGTCTCGCCTGTTTTGTAGACAGTTTTAAGAGCTTCAATTTCAACTGGGAGCTGTGAAGTAGCTAAGAGAAGAGAGAGAGAGCAGATTTAGTTTTTAAAAGTATGCAATCTTCACATGGTGCAATTTCAGGGGGAGATTTCTATTTCATTTCCTCTACTGAGGAATTGCCTGGAAAATTCAGTGGAAGTGCTGCCGATTTATACTGATGTAAACAATCAGTATTTAAAGCATGAAGTGTACAGGCATTGAGTTCAAACTCACAAAGAAATGATCCATGCATAAAATTTCAATTAGAAGTTCCTAACTCAAATGCCCCTGTGAAAAGTCACTTGGTATAAAAGCAATTTTCCATTTTGCTAATCAGTGACTGTCTTTGAGAATCCCTTGCTGGCCAGTAAAAACCTGGTTATCAAAATATTTGAATCATTGTTTTTCAGACTACTCAAAGATCTACTATTTGAAGCCACTGGGAAACACCAGCCTTTTCGTTCAGCAAACAGGATGCAAATACATGGATTATGGAAGACTTTTCTTGCAACCGTTTGGGAGGGGATAAAGTAAATGATACTTTATGCTCATCAAAATTTTATGTAACTGCTAAGTAAACCAGCAACCAAGTATCTGGCAATACTGCCAGAGGAGCAAGGAACTCGTCATTGGTGAAATAACCTGATACAACCCTGTGGTGCTGATGTTAATATGGCTCTTACAGTGTGAGGTGGTTGACAAGAAGCTCAACATGAGCCAGCAATGTGTGCTTGCAACCCAGAAAGCCAACCGTGTCCTGGACTGCATCCAAAGCAGCATGACCAGCAGGTCGAGGGAGGGGATTCTCCCCCTCTACCCCTCTCTGGTGAGACCCTCCCCTGCAGTACTGCTTTCAGCTCTGGGGCCTCCAACACAAGAAGGACAGGACCTGTTCAAGTGAGCCCAGAGGAGGCCACGAAGATGATCCGAGGGCTGGAGCACCTCTCCTATGAAGACAGACTGAGAGAGTTGGGGTTGTTCAGCCTGGAGAAGAGAAGGCTCCGGGGAGACCCTAGAGCAGCTAGCCAGTACCTGAATGGGCCTACAAGAAAGCTGGGCAGTGACTTTTTACAAGTGCATGTAGTGAAAGGACAAGGGGCAATGGCTTTAAACTGGAAGAGGGAAGATTTAGATGAGATATAAAGAAGAAATTCTTCACTGTGAGGGTGCTGAGGCACTGGAAGAGGTTGCCCAGAGAAGCTGTGGATGCCCCATCCCTGGAAGTGTTCAAGGCCAGGCTGGATGGGGCTTTGAGCACCCTGGTCTGGTGGAAGGTGTCCCTACCCATGGCAAGGGGCTTGGAACTGGACAATCTTTTAAGGTCCTTTCCAACCCAAACCTTTCTATGGTTCTATGATCTATGAAAGAATTGGGCTGAATGTTATTACTTCTTTATTTTTAAAAAAAATGAACAAAAATAAATACCTCTTAAAATATAGACGAGGAACTCATCGGACTTGAACTCCACACCTTTAACCATTGTTTTGCATGTATATGAGCCTGCGGGGAAATTCCCTATGAAGCCTTGTTTGCTGTCATAGAAAGCATAGACAGCCTTGTCTAAGCTGTTAATTAAAGTCACTTGAGCATTAGGGTCACTTGTCCGACAAGGGATAACGGTGGGATCGCCTTCTTCTACTAGGATGAACTGGTCTTCTGGTATAGAAGGAACAAAAGGCATGTCTGGGTCTGCAAAAAAAAGAGGTAATTTTACACTGTCTTGTTTGTAGTAAGTCCATGTACAAGAATGACCACTTGTAGATTGTAACTGAAACCAGTACAGTTAATTACTCTACTTTTTCAGAGACTGCAGGTAGGGTATGGTAATCACATGCAGTAGCTCATTTTTGCTATTTGATGTGACATGTAGCAAGACATTTGACCTACGCACAAAATAGGAAAGGGCTTGGGTACCTTTGTGACAATTTAGGATGCAGAATGAAAAATACAAAACATTCCCCCCTCCAAAAAAGAAAGGTAAGCATTATTAATCCCCTTAGACCTGGTTCTGACATATTCTTACAGTGAGGGCAAGAGCATATTAAGTGACAAAAAGCAAGAAAATCACTCCTGGGTGTGAAAACATTCATGCAAATGTTGGAGACTAAAGTAACAATGAATTCACTTTATCATAGACAGCTCTATCAAGATATATGTACAGCAAAGACCACAGGGAAGAATTTGGACTTAAACATGCTAATTTTATGATACAAGATTTTGCACTTAGATGCAACATTCACTACACACACCAAAAAAAAAAAAAAAAAAAAAAAAAAA